GAGAAGTACTGAATGAAAATGACTCCCCACCTTCACACACATACTCGCCCGCGCACACAAAGTTAGCATGCATTACGCACACACATTAGCGAGAGACGTAATCGGTAAACAAATAGAGATAAAAGAGTTTGCAAGTTATCTCATTAAGTATTACTGAGCCCTTTAATCTGATGGGATTAGTGTAGTATGGAGAAAGTCTGATTAGGTTGCAAGGTAGTGAACTGTAGTATAATTGAACTACATTTAAATGTCTACAGTTCCTTCAGCAGTTTTTTTTTTGTATTTTCTACACAGAAGCACCGCATGTTTCGATCATTCCACATAAAATGTTATTAATTTACTTTTTTTTTTTTTGCTCATAATGAGTCAGTTCTGTAACACTAAAGAGGCTTGATAAGAAAAAGCAGTGTGGCTGTATATCAGTAAAGTGCATCCTTTTGTGTGGAGGAAGAGTGAACGATGACATGTGCTTAGATGGTATAAGAGGGGTTAAGGTCATCCTCCTTTGTTTTAGTCCTCACACAGCTGAGCCTGTAGTTGGTGCATTTTTCTGATCCATACCATCTGACGAGAAGGTTGCACACAAATTCTCTCAACATTACTATGACTCCGAAGTCCACATGGGAAAAGAGTTTTTTTTTTTTTTTTTTTTTTTTTTTTTTTTTTACCAGTTATTAAATCCTGGACACTGGAATCTGTTTTTGCCTGTGTCTCTTTCAGTCACTGATCTCATTTTATTCCCTTTTGGGGTATTTTGTCCTTGTGGAGGGCAGTGAACTTTAGTGATGTTTCACTGGCGTTGTAGTGGGTTGTACTCTGCCTTGTTGTGCATGTCTGGTATATTGTAGCGTTCTCTTGGAGGGTGGTGGTTTGAATAATTTATGCAACAAATGCATTTGCCAGGAGATGCAGGTGCTCATCTGAGAACATGTGGGGGCTGTTCCACTGCCTCAGGTTTCATCACAAACACCTTTTGGTTACAATGCCACTAACTATAAATGTAAAGAGCATATAATATAATTTCAGAAGCAGACAAGCAGAAGAGAGAGAGTTGAACTGGTACAAAGAAGGAGGGCAGATGGGATGGAGGTGCTTTTAGGATACAAAGATGTTATGTTTGATATTTTATATTATGTTTGATAAAATGCATCAAGATATTGTTTACAGTTACATCCCACAGTAACATACAGTATACTATGATAGCATATGTTAATGTACAGTATGAGGCCACTAGCTCAGTATGTCATTGTTCTTCTCTCTCAGCTTGGTCAGAAAATTGTAAACGCTGATATGTAAAGGGTATACAGTATTGGCAATATGTAATAATGTGTGTTCCATGTTTACAAAGAATAAGTGCTGGAGTGTGTTGAGCTTGGCTGTGAATCAGCATTTAAACAGAGACGGGCAAGAGGAATTGACCAAGTCAGATTTAGAGTAATGTACAGTAAACATTAACTACTGTGCTGTTGTAGCTAATATGAGCTATTTGCACCACATTGATGTGATCCCATCAGGTAAAGTTCTGCAATCTCATTGTCAATTATCAACAGCGCATGTGGTAGATTTTGAAGAGGGGAGGTATAGTAAAGGTCTTAGCACATCAGCATGTTCAAATGAACTGTTATCGACAGTAATCTGAGCAACGCTAACTTGTTAACAATGGAATGAACATTAAATGGTGATCAAATAATCCTCTATTGCCTCTCAGAAGTCTGCTTATTGAGGTCATTAGTGCAACTGAGTCAATAGCATTATTTTTTAAATATTGAAGTTAACACCAACATTTACAACCTGTAGAGATAACAGGTCTGATGAGTCTAAAAATGCTTAAGCCTTATTGACTGTTTGCCACTTGGATGTCTGCTCATGTTGTTATCGTCCCCATCAGTCCAGTTTGGTTAACTTTATAGATTTTTTTTTCTCTGTGCTTATAGATAACACAGCTCGTGTCGGTGCCATTCACCTTGTACAGTTATGTTTATTTATCCCAACAGATACTTCACTTATTAGGCTGATACCAATATTTTATTTTAGAGGGGAAAATCAGAATCACGTTTATTCACCGTTTAAACACACGAGGAATTTGTCTTCAGTAAAGAGGCTCTCATTGTGTTTGGAAGGAAATAGGAAAATATGTGCATTTAAAATAAGAAACAGAATGGGATGAAAAAAGAGAGAAACAATCTATTTATAAATTTATATGCATGACGTAGCAGAAGACCTTTATATTTTATAATAGTTATATTTACGATGTATTGCACTGGGGGCTGCTGTTTTGGTATAAAATCACATATTAATGTTTCATATAGGGTATAGTCATGTTTTACATAGACACAACATGGACAAACATTTGGTTTTTTAAAGAGCTTGGACATCCATATATTACTAAGACGTTTGACGGTTGATGACTTGTAAGCGCCCTCTGGTGGTCAAACTATGTAACGCAATATTTCTAAATGACCTAAAACATACAGTATGCAATCAGCAAATATCAGCCAATTTATCGGCCCCGTTAATTGATCTAGTTCTAACTCTTGGATAACTGAGTGGAGTATTGTTGCCCTTATAGCCTTTTAACATGACACAGAATTTTGTACTAATTTTCATTCCATTTATTCATTGATTTTTTTTTTTTTTTTTCCTGAGACAATGCCTGCTGATTAATAGAAAAATGAATGGGTCAGTGCTCATTAAGAATTCTAATTTACATCCTTTGCTCTTGAGCACATATTAAAAAGCAACCTAATATCAGATTCGTAGCATTACTTACTACTGTTTAGATATTTGTATTAAATGTAGTGCATGCAGGTATCTACTGTGAATGCTAGTACCAAAGGAACAATTTGACATTTTGAGAAATATGCTTGATTGTCTTCTGGCCAGGAGTTAGAGGAGAAAGTTGAAACTGCAAGCCTGGTTCTGCACAAAGTTTTTAGACTCCAGGAAGTTACTCTTCCCAGCCAAGAGCATTATTATCCAGACCATGTGACTCCCCCAGCTTAGTGGTCTCTTAAGATCAAACTGGAAAAAGATTGACAGCCTCTCTTTTGAGGAGGTTTTGTGGCTCCTTCTCAGAGTGATTCATTCATTTGGATCGAACTGATTTGTCATAATCAAGATAGACTGTCAGTACCAGAGGTGTTGTGTTGCCAGTGTTGTTTTTGTTTTCCATAGATGGAAGGTGGGGCTGGTTTTGGAGCAGGGATATTTCCTGACGCGATGTTTTTGTTTTTACTTTGTTTAGTTTTTCTCGCCATTGTATTTGTAAAAAATGTTGCTTTGTCAGCAGGTCAGGTAGTTTTTTTGTTTTTTTTTATCCCTGCTCCTCCAGTTCTTCTTGTCTTGAACAAACATAAACTGCACTCACACACTCATTGCTTCATGCACACACAGACACATACCCACACACTCCTAATCTCAGCTTTGTCCTCTCTCCTCCTCTTTCCTTACTATAAAGGCAAACTCAGCAGACCTCCAGGCTGCCAGGGAGCAAAGGCATTCTGGGTAATTGAAGGTGCAAGGAGAATGAGGAAGTGGGGGGAAAAAAATAAAAATAAAAAAAACCTAACAAAATCACAGCACTTGATGCTGTGCATGCATGATGTTGTACACTCAGATAATCGCAGACACACCAAACAAATCCAGTCTCTCACCACTGAACTACAGAGACACAATACACATCCGTTTCCATCTGTATGTTCATTTGCTGGGATAAATACGTGCTCTGTTTGTGGCAGAGTATGGAATCAAAAAGCTGCATGGCATCGTGCTCCCTGTTGTTGTACATTAACGATTAGGAGATATGAGGGAGAACGAGGGAATAGCGAGGGTGGTCGGGTGGAGCAGAGGAGGATGCAAGAGTGTCGTTGGTCTGCCCATATCTCAGCTCTGATTAAACCTCGTTCCTCCCTGACCTGAAAAGTCAGCCGCCGGAAACTTCAGAGGCTGTGGGTGAATTTCACCGGGGCTCTTTACGCCCAACCGACGCCTACAGAGACGGAGAGGAAGCGAGAGGGGAGATCAGAGAAAGAGAAGTAGAACAGAGAGTGGGCAGATACTGAAAATAAAATGCACACAGAGATGCTGGTTTATGTGCTCGCTGTTCACACATTATCATATATATGGATGTACACTGTCTGCAAATACTGCATGTGGTCTGCTCTGTATTCCTAATGAGGATAAGGAAGTGGCCGGTGCTGGGTGGCAACTCTGGGTTAGTTAGTAGTACAATACCACAGGAAGCAGATGGAGGCAGCGCTGAAATGTGGCAGCGTCGCTCGTCTGGGACAAGCACAACAAAATGCACAAATACAAAAATAAATCTGGGCCTCATGGAAGGGCTTCTGCAGGTACAGGAAATATCCCAGGGAGGGAGAGACGGCAAACAAGATGAGGGGAAGACCACTGGGTTGCTATTTTTATTTTCTGTTACGACTGATGTATTGTTTCATTTACGGGAAGTTCAGTGAAGGCTTGGCATTATAGGTACTGGCTTAGCACCTAAGTAGTGGAGGAAGCATTCAGATGTTCTAGCTAATTAACATACTGCATTGAAAATATGACAAGTATATTAGAAAATGTGCGTAACGCATCAAAAGTAAAAGTAATACAAAAAATGCCCCTTATTATACCATATTATTATCACTGATACATTCAGGTATTGTTGGTGGGGTGCAGCTAATTTGAACAGTTTTATAGTTTGAGTTCCTTAATCATCATATTTTATAAGCTCATTAGTTTTGTACATAAAACCTTAATCTGCAAAGTAAGTAAGACATCAAGCACACGCAGTGGAGTCTGTGGGAGTGGTACAACAACAAAAAATAAATAAAAAATACTAAGGTACAATACATCAAATTTGTACTTAAGTGCAATACTTGACTAAATGTACTTTGTTACTTTCCAACACTGCAGAGCAAAGAGGTGTGTAGTTTCTGCCGAGTTTAAAACTCTTTGTGTGTGTTTCCATGTATGTTTGTTTGTATGTTTGCCTCTTTCAGAGTGCTGCAGCAGCTCCCAGCCCTGTCCTTGGGAACCTTCCCCCTGGAGAGGGCATGCCAGTGGGGCCAGTCCCTCCAGGATTCTTTCAGGTACAGAGCGCGCACACACACACACACACACACACACACACACACACACACACACACACACAGAGAGAGAGAGGATTATGCAATGTGACCTAAAAGTGGAACTGGGTAAACTATGACCTGTTGTTCATCCTGAGTGTTGCTGTGTTACTGTTTATTCATGTGTACTTATTTAATCCATGAAGTCTTTCCTCAAAGAACTCACTCAAGCCTAACTGCCTGTATTACTGTCCAGACTGTACATGTGTGTACAGTCTGGACTTATTTGTGTGTGGGTGCACCACTGAGTGTTTCCCAAAACAGAGAAGAAAAGAGTCTGTCAGGAGAAAAAAAAAACTCTCTCGCAAACCAAACACACACAGCTTTGTCTCAGATCTTCGCTGTTCTCCATCAAAAGGACTCTGCCACTTGTACATTGATTAACCATCATTATCAGTCAAACTGAGACGCTCACATCTGACACGCAGATCAATAGCTTTCATATGTACAGTATTTCTCAGCTCCGCTTTCAGAAAACTCAACCCTGAGTCTGAGCAGCCTTTTCTATCTCCTTGTTTTTTGATGACAAGAGAAAAACAACAATTACCTGATTGTCAGCTCTTCGTGCAGGCTCCAGAGTATTCATTGCCTATGGACCAGATAAGAAAATAATATAGCTGAATTTAGTGATTCACTGCAGAAAGACAGATAGTGTACCTGTAGATATACGTATATATGAACAGGTGTTGATGCATCTAGCTTTGAGGATGTTGATTTATTCCTTGAGTCAATTGATGAATTTAGTAATTTGTGGATTCACTCATTCCTAAAGTTTCTATGTTCAATCATTACATTTATTTGTTTATCCATATAAAAACAAGGTTGTATATAATTAGTGATTAAATAGGCGTACAGTACTGCACCTGTTCCCTTTCAGGGATCTCCGACACAGCCAGGAAAGGATCCTGATCAAAAACAAGTGGACCATTGCTCTCTAGTGGCATGTTGAAATATCACCTCTCCGACGCTGCACATTGACTTTTCTCACCACGGCACAGTAGCATCAGTTCAGCAGACATAGCAGCAGCATCGCTGCTGTCTGTGGTGAGGACAAGTGAGAATCCACTCGCAGCTGCAAAAAGCACTTTTCACACATGCTGCCAAACGCCACACAGTTAACACATACACTGGCATAGTCTTTAAAAAAAACTCAGCCTTTATTCTCTGTCTATTTCCAAAAATTCAATCCAGTGAAAATGTGGTTTGCTCCCCACACTGCTGTCATGGACCTGTGCTTAGAAGCCAGACACAGTAATTCTGGTTGGTTTCTTGTCCTAAAGATTGAAAGAACTTCCTGTAGCACTCCACCACTTTTGTCAGTGGGAAAGGGATTTTAAAAGGACTATAATTAATCTTGACTGCATATTTTGTCATGATCTTTGGTTGTGTTGAAGATTTCTACTAGTATGTAGATGATAGATGTTTATGAATTTAGTGTATGATACAGCAGCCACTGGCATTTAGATTGTGTGCACAGGGTTTATAAGCCTGAGTTATTTTTCCTGCATTTATACTGTTTTTTTTTGTTTGTTTTTTTCCAGCCATTTATGTCACCTCGGTACCCTGGAGGGCCTAGACCACCCCTCAGATTACCCAGTCAGGTAGGAGCCACACTGACACCTGCAGGCAGCAAATGGAACAGTAGCTAGTAGAAATAGTGATTCTCTTTCCTCTGTAGGGGCTTGGAGGAGTCCCAGGTAGCCAGCCTATGTTACCAAGTGGAATGGACCCCTCAAGACAGCAAGGTAATTGTAACCAAAACAGCTTTTTGTGCAGCCACATCCTGAAAGATCCCAAAAGTCTCCATCCACTCTAGCAGTTCTGTGATGCACCACTAAGGCACAGCAGTGACCCCATCACTAACACGCCCACAGCGATTGTGTCAAAATGCTGATTTGAACATGTTTTATCTGGCATCTTATTTTAGCGTGCTAAGATTTTATTTTTAGCACTAAACTCCATGTACGGCTGGAACTGAAGCTAATGTCTTTAGTTTTGCAGGTTTTGGACTAGTTAAGCTGTTGAACTCATGATGGCACTACGTTAAAATTTAAATTGGTTAATCTTGTGGGGAACATGAATGTCTGTATCAAAATTTGTGTTAATCCATCTAATAAATATTAAGATAACAATATTTCATTCAAAATTTCAAATGTCACCATGATGGGTGCACTAGAGGAAAAGTCAAGGGGTCAAGAAGTGATGAGGATTAATCCTCTGGTGACCAGGAGTATCTGTACCAAATGTCAAGGTAATCCAAAAACCCAACTGAACTGTGGCACGAGAGGAGTGGTCAGGGATCATGAAGGTCAGTGGGATTCATCCTCTGGAGACCATGAAACCTCAATTATTTTGTCAGTAAATCAAAGAATTGTTGAGATATTTCAGTCCGGGCTTAAGTTGTGGTCCGGCTGACAACCTTGAGCCACACCATTAGTTTGAATATAAAACACATTAACGGGTCTGTCGTTGAACCATATTCCTTCACTACGATGGTTGCTGTAGTTTATTCAGAGAAAAAAAACTGTGTTTGTCACTGGAGAGTCACTGTAGATCTCTGAGTCTGGGCTGGGAAGAGGTTTTGTATACTTGAGATGTGAAAAACGAGATACAGTATGTTGTACAGTATCGTAGAGACATAAGACACATCAATCTGTTTAGTCTCTTTGTGGGATTTGGTCTTAATCATAAAAAGGTTTTTTCTTATTCTCCATTTACACAGACTACTCACTCCTCCAGACAACACATAAATTATGCATAGGGACTCAGGATGGTCAGTTGCTGTTCAGCTCAACATTAGAATGAGAAAATAATGGAATTTAAGCAAATGAAAGTGTTACACAATGGTTGGCGCCAGACACACAGGCCTCACCATCTCAGAGATCAATGTCTTCCTGGGCATTTAAAATACTGCAACGTCTGGACAAAAGTGTAAAATCCAGTCCATTTAATCAAATAACTGATGCACTTGTTTCAGATTAAAGTAAAACAGTAAGGGTTCATTAAAATGGCCGACTTGAGAACAAGAATCTTCCCCTAGTGTGATGAATTCTCAAATGGAAAAAAAACTGATGGCTATTTCAGGACATCCAAATATGGGAGGACCGATGCAGCGGATGACTCCACCCAGAGGCATGGTGCCCCTGGGCCCTCAGGTATGGAAACCAGATGCTTTATGGAGATTTATACAGGTTTGGTTCTTTTAGTTACTCTCTTGTGGACATACTGAGGGTGGTTCTGGTGTCTTGCCTTTTTTAGAACTATGGCGGTGGGATGCGACCACCACTGAATGCCCTGGTTGGTCCTGGGATGCCTGGCATGAACATGTGAGTAATGTAATATAAACACTTGGAGGCAGACGTACAGAATGTGTAGCACAGAGCTGCTAGTGCACGTAAGATTTTCCTTAAAATGTAAATGACATCTCCACATTTTATTCACTCAGACATTAACATGAAACTCCAAATATCCTTTATCACTACAGTGGATGCAGTCAGCCATTTCCTTTAAGTAGTTTTAATTACAGCTTTACTATATAGTACGTTCTTGGCTCTTAAGAGGTCTGCAAGTGGAACTGGGAGCTACTTGTTCCCATCACCTCTCTCTGGCAACAGAAGAGCTTGTTGTTGCCAACTGGAAACAGAGAAGTGTTCCAAAAGCAGACAGCTAAAGTGTTTGTCTGTTCCAGGGGACCTGGTGGGGGCAGACCCTGGCCAAATCCTCCAAACTCCAATTCCGTAAGTGCTCTAAAGAAGAAGCCCAGCACAAAACTTACCAGTGATTTCATTTCCTTCATGATTTCCTTCTGTATTTTTATAGACCCCTTACTCTTCTGCATCTCCAGGAAGTTATGTGGTAGGTACAGTATGGCCTAATCCCATTTCTTCCCCTTGCCCCTACCACTTAGCCCTACATGTCCATTTTGCACATTCACATGTAGTGGCAGGAGTGTCCCAATTCTCGTAAGGATGGCAGGTAAGGGGTAGGGATACACAGCCCTTCAAAATCCATCAGCATTCCCTGGTGTCAAAAACATATTCCCATCCTTTCATTTTTGTTATTTGCTGTTGAAAATTGCAAACCTATGCTTAAAGACCATACAAGCAACATCAGCACAGGTGAAAACGGCACTGTGTGATTCAAAAGTAACAACTACTTGTCTGTGTCTGCTTACTTAACTGTTGTCATTAACTACTGATCTTGAAGGGTTGTTCCATCTCACAGATGTTAACCCCATTTTGAGGGTTAACTTAAACTCTAGGTTGCACTCAAAAATGAGGGGTAGGGGTAAAAAATGGGAAATAGGATTAGGCCTATGTGTATATTAAAAAAACGTTTGCTAGCTGTACATGCTTTAATTCATTTCATTCATGATTGAGTATTATTGAAACCAAATCTGTCATTCCAGGGGCCTCCCGGAGGAGGGGGGCCACCTGGGACCCCAATAATGCCAAGTCCAGCAGGTGAGTTCTGTGTGTTTGCGCATGTGCATGTGCATGTGCACAGACATTTGTTTTGTTCTTTTAATGTGTTTATTTCCTCCCTTTGTTATGTCAGATTCAACCAACTCTGGCGACAACATGTACACTATGATAAACACAGTGCCCCCAGGCGGAAGCCGACCAAATGTGAGACATTCTTCCTTCCGTAGATCAGTGTCTCTCTGTGTGTTTAATTGTAGATGGCTTGTCGGGTCAGGCTTGGAGGGGTCATTATCCTTCAATGTCTGATTTTACTTTCTGTTGCTTTGTTGATGGTTAACTCTTGTGTACTCTTTCCTCAGTTCCCTATGGGTGCAGGCGGTGATGGTCCTTTGGGGGGAATAGCTGGAATGGAGCCCCATCACATGAATGGATCATTAGGTACAGGAACAAGTAGCCTCTATGTACAGCACCGACACTAAATCTGTTATTATTTGTCTAATTATCAAGCAATTTATGCAAAACAAGCACTGATTTGATCATGGTGACTTGTGTTTTTTTTTTTCTTCTATTTGTGTTCCATCTCTTAGGGTCAGGTGATATGGACAGTCTCCCTAAGGTAGAAGATATTTTGCACTATTTTTACACTGCACGCCTGGTTTAGCAGCATACAATTCCTATTAAGTTCTGTTTTACTCACATTTGTACAGAACTCTCCTGGTAACTTAAGCATGAGTAACCAGCCAGGAACCCCGAGGGAGGACGGAGAGATGGGAGGAAACTTCCTCAACCCATTTCAAAATGAAAGTGTAAGTTGATTGTCATTTAGTGCATGGGATTGTGTCAGCGCTGCTCTCAAATCTGTGTACTACATTTGAATACTACATCAGAAGCCAATTATCTAAGCTCAGTATAAAAAGAGGAAGACGGGGGAAAGCTTGCCTTTGCCCAAAGGAATAAAAACATTCATTAACACTTCATAAGTTTACTAAAGACATTATGTCTTGTTTTTTCAATCTGTACAAAAAAAGAAGTGTATAAACAAGCAAATCTACCTTTTAGACAGGAGCAGTGACTTTCCACTGGTTACCTTAACAGTAAATAAACAAGGTATTGTGTATCAGTGAGCTTCAGAGACACAGCTAGATGGGTTTTGTTACATTCTGACAGAGCCAGCTTGGCCAGAAATCACAAAAGTGTGTTTCACAAAATGTCTTATTATGCCTTTAACATTTGGGAGTGATTCTAGTGCCCATACATTTTTGGAAATAATTTGACTTCAAAGCATTTTGAAGGGATTTCTTATTGAGGACAATTTACAACAGTGATAACCTTAAAAACATTCTCTCTCTCAAACACACATGATCACACTTACTTACTTTTCTCCATCTTATCTCAGCAGTATTCTCCAAACATGACAATGAGCGTGTGAAGGCTTGGGGAGCCGATCCCTTCGGGCGCTCAGTAAGTTGGTTTGCACTGGTGAAAAGCAGAGAGATCGGATGTGATGCCATCTAGGCCAGTGACTCTTCCTCCACCACCACCTGCCTAGTTAGAGGACAGTTGCCCCCGGCTCTGTCCTTCTACTATCCGCACCCCTCCCTCCCGTCCATGGTTTCTGTCCACATCTCTTCACTCCTGTTTCTCCGGTGTGGTGGTGACTCTGCTACGTTCATCAGTTTGTCCTCTGCAACTATGACACTGTACAAAGAAACCAAATTGAAACAACCCAGAGGAGAACTCTTTGTATATTTGCATACAGTGTGTATGAGACTGCACACTCTCCACTCACAGATGTTTCTGCCTTTTGCATCATGTCACACAGTTGATGCCTAAAGCCAAAAGGCCAATGTCCTATTAATCCTAAAGTTTAAATTTCCAAGGATTTAAAGAGACTTTTTGACTGATGGCAAAACACTTAAATAAACATTGTGTTTTATGTTTTATACTGTGGATCTAGGGACTTTTTTTCAGTTCAATTCATCCCCAAACTAGGCTGCAAATGTGAAAATAGTTAGTTCACTTTGCCACGGCTTTGCATGTCCTGGTGAGGCAAATAAAGTACAGGTCAAAGTCAACTCCTCTTTTTTTTCAGTCTTTCAAAATCAAAATTTACTGAAAAGCCTCAGCAAAGCCTGAAATATGTGTTAACACTTTTGAATTTAACATCACATTGAATGATTATTGAGAAAAAAGGGTTTTGTTCAAAGCAAGACTGTGTAATCTTGGTTGAACGTTATAAGTGACAATTACTAGAAGTGCAAACATTTATCAACCAAAAGCTACTGGACATACCAGACCAAGTACAGTAAGATTTAGAGGCAAAGTGAGTGCACTGGATTGAGCAATGGTGTGTTTTATTGTTTGCAATACAAACTGTAAAACTCCCAAGTATAAATGCTTTACTAAGACTCCTTTTGGGGGATTTCACATCCTTTATGATGTTTTGTTTGAATTTTCTTTCTTTTTTTTCTGATTTATCAGTTTACATCCTGGAGTCACAGTTGCAAAATGCGCACAATGGCCCACATTCTTTAGACACAAAATGTTAAGTGAGAGAGAGAAATCAAAGACAGAGTAACAGGAGGTATAAACTGTAAGACACAAGCTTATAAAATCACTTTGGTCACTCGTAACAATTGTCATCCGGATAAACTGTGATCTCAGTGGGAAATGAAAGGTCGGTTGGTACAAAACGCTAAAATAAGCTTGTTTTTAACTATTGTTTCAAACTTGTTCACTGCCCAGATGTATTATAATCATGTACAAAAGGTCGATATTCAACATTCTCCTTTCCCTTCCCTTACTGCAAATTGTACAGCTCACAAATGTAGCTCCTCTGTCTTGTATGTGTCTTTGATATTATTATTATTTAATTAAGAAACAAATCTGGAGAGAATTATCACAAAAAGGAGCAGTGATGACGCACCAACTGAGAAGAGAAGAGGTTTTTTTTTTTTTTGTGTTAGACTGAAGCCATAAGTGGGAGTACAAGAAGATGCATTTGTAAATTGGGTCATGTTTTCTGTTTCGTGGCAGTATGTGGGATTCCATTTGTGATGTGTTCATTTTCTCTTTTTTATTCTTGTATTATGTTTTTGTAAATACACAGAGAAGTATTTCATGGGTTTTGAATATGCTGGTATAAAGCTTCTCTTCCCTTAGTCAGTGTCAGCTCGTTTCATTCGTGACAATTGCACTGTATGTGGACATGAACGCAGTCACTTGGGGATGAATGCTGGTTCAGTGCGACTGCCACCATGTGACAAGTTATGTTTGCAAGTTCTCCTACTTATGTAGTACAGAAGAGTAGTCTTGTTGACCCTGCCTAAGAACAAAGACTGACTGTGATTGGCCTGTCAAAGCCAGTTTTTGCAGCTGAACAGAGCCAGGGTTTCCAGTCTACTGTCTATGCTAAGATAACTGCCTGCATGCTGTGTTTAACGTACAGAACTGTGAGTGGTATCAGTCTTGTCATACAGTACATGCCAGAGTGAAAGATATTGTCTGTTCAGGAAGATACTACCCTCCTGGAGCCAAGCACGTTGCGGAACATATATCACGGTAGTTGGGTGGCAGCAATGGCCTTACAAGTTGATTTACACTGTGGCTGGAATCTGCTATAAGATGGTGGAATATTATGCCAGATTTTGAGGGGCCCTCAAAGTGAAATAAGAGCCCACTGTTCAAAAGAAATGATTTCAAAAAGTTATTGTTGCTGCTTTAGCAAACTGTATAGTCAGCACTGTGATAGCTATTTTATTTTCTCACAGCCTGCTTGTACGGCCCCATTTATGTCAGCACTGCATGACAGGTAAAATGTACTGTATATACTTGTCAGACAGTGTGATCTTTGCATATTGTATTAGTTTATTTCTCCCTCAAACACACAACATGCGGAGAGAAAGAGTGAGACCACAGTCACCCACATAAGGAATAATTCATCCTGCACAACAGAAGGCAGTAGGAGGTGAGTAACCCTGTGGCAGAACCACAAAGAACACAGTACTTCTCTTGTATTACATTATGATATAGCATCAAAAATAGTTTATATAAATAATAAGCGCCTATATAAAATGTGTATCCCTATTTTCTGCATATGAAACAGATGAGTAATCTGCAGTGTTTTTTATGTAGCAGTGCCAGACTTGTGTATGTACTGTATAGTGTTTGGTCTCTGCAGAGATGTTTGAACTACTGATTACACAAGCTCAATATTTCCCAATAACAACCATTAACACAAGAATAGTGTAGTCGGCACACCTCCCATGTGCCTAATCTCCTCTCCTAAACTCTTTCTTTCTCCCTCCTCGTTTCCCTTATTTACTTAACTTCTTCATGCTGGATTGTGGTTGTCCTCTTCTTACTGTAGTATGCAGCTGGCTGCCTTTTGACGTCTAATCTTGTTTTGCTGGCTCGCTCCTCCTGACCTCTTGACCTGTACCTGATCCAAGATGTGATCCTCTGAAGGATCAAAGCCGAGTTATTTGTCATCAGGACTTACCTTCGATATAAAGCAGAATCGAGTTTCCTTTGTTTTAAAAGGCCACGCCGGTGGTTTTACATGATTAACCTACAGTAACCTAATAACTTCCATTTTACTGTGGTGTGATCATGACTAGCTACAAGCATCCATAAGCTATAAGTAAAATAATAATACTAATAACGATAAGTAAACATGAGTGCAAAGAGAATGTGATTTTAGACTGCAGTTACATTGAAATGGTTTGTGGAAATGTTTTTAAAGTAGAAACCAGTGCTGTGGTTAAATGAGGACAGGAGAGGAGGCGTCTCTGTGTTTGTGTCCTTTCTTTTTTCACTTTTTCTACCTTTGTGTGTGTGACTCTAAGCAGGGGGCTGTTCACATATTGAAAGATGCAGGGGTCTTGATATTCAGCCTCTGCCAGCTGGCTGTTATGTAACAGGATAAATAGGACACATGCCCCTGCTGACTAGATGTGAAAAGCGAACCGCTCCTTCCCTGCAGGAGAAGAGAGAGTGGGTGTGTGGCCCAGCCCACTGTTCCCCTGGTTCCTTTCAGGAGGCTCTGGCAGGATCCCTGACATTAGTGTCGCTCTCTGGCTGCCTGCTGTCTCAAGCCATGGCTGCACAGCTGGTTGTAGTACTGCTGGCTCTCACCTCCCTGGGCGCCGCATCCGAACTGGACTGTAAAGAGCTGGTTAAGCCTCTGGTACTGGACAGCCACAGCCCCGTGAGTATCAATGATCATTTGCAATTTTTTTTAGCAAAAAATGGCCATTATTAAGTCATAGTTTAAACAAGATCAGCACAAAGTCCATTAAGCTGTTCTGGAGCTTTCGATGATGTGATCTTAATCAGCAGATGAACCCTAACCCTAGTTGTTGTGTGTTCAAATTTCAATTGTCCTGAATATTTTAAGGACTTCAGTGATGGCAGGCAAACAAATGATAGCACTTCCTTTTCAAATACTCTATATTTACTTCACAGACTAAGAACACCTACTATAAAATAAAATCTGGTCACTCTTATGCAGTAAATTTGAGAAAATATATAAAGTTATGTACAAATCAAGTTTATTGTTAACTGAATGATGTGTTTTTATGTATAACAGTTAAACTGTTGTTAAAACTCCTACTACAGAGAGAGAGGTGAGTATACAAGCTGTGTTGACCTCCCATACTCAAGGTGCCAGTGTCTGTCTGGCTCCTCACAGTCTGACAAGAGGGAACGCGAGGTTCTGTACACAAGGATGTTGTGTCTGCACTCTTAGATAGCAAAATTATATGTAAGAAATGCACATGCCAGGTTTTGCTCTTTGCCTGGAGAGACTGAGCCCTTTCATGAGTTTTCATCAAGTTTTACAATACAATACAAAAAAGACAGAGCTTCTCTTGTTGACTTTATTATTTTAATATTTCCATAACACTCTAAGTTATATATGCAGAGCAGTAATGTCACTATGTGATTGATTTGCTTCTGCGTGGGTGGCAGATCTACGGAAAGTGGGTGCTGCATGTGGGGTCGTGGGACCAGCCCGGCCTTAAAAGTGACCTGGTGTCAGTGAACAGCTCTTGGTTGGAACTGTCGGCTTCCTCAGACAGCAGAGTCATCACTCTCTACTGGGCCGACCGTCTGTAAGGACACTATGACTACAAATGCTTATTCATGGCCACATCTGTTGTATGTCCTATTGTTACGTTCCATTTTCTCTCACATGCAAATGCCGTCTGGAGATCACTGTTTACAGTTTGTGTATATTGAAAGTCTGATGCAGATTTTTGCTCCTGTTTCTTGTTTTTTTTTTTTCTCATTACAGAAATGATAAATGCCTTCAGGGTTTAGCCAATGTCACCATCTCGGGAATACCCACTCACTTCACTTGTATGTATCTGAAAATATATTTTTCTGTTTACACCCTGACTCACCATTTCTCATTCTCAGTGCTGTGTGTGGGTGATGCATGCAGCCAAAGCGCATTACATAAGTGTGGGTGGGTTTCATAAGAAAAGACTCCAGATATATTCATATTTTTACTTTGGGGGACATTTTTTGTGCTGTTTTCTTGTGCACAGATCCAGATAGATGCAGGAACATATAAAAATCATAGTTACAGTACAGTACAGTCCATTAGTGCTGGTTTTATTCTTTGTTCCAAAGTTAATATCCACGGTCACACTTCATATCATGATGGGAAGTTCTATGAGACCTGTGCCGACTGCCTCCTCTCTGAGGACACCACCCTCCTCCCAGATGGCCAGTCTAAGGGACGCTACCTGTACCTCTTTAGTAAGTTGTTTTTTTTGTTTGTTTGTTTTTACACTGATCAATTTTTGAAACAGCCTTGTCTCTATTTTCTGTCCTCTCTGTCTCACACTTCCTCACTCTCCTGTTGTGTTTTTCTGGTTACTCTTTTAAAGCACGGACCGGTGCTCTGGAGCCATCTGAATTAGAGACCTTCAAGAAGCAGGCGGAGTGTCTGAAATTTCTCCCAGAATACTACTTTGTAGGCACAGGTCAGCCATTATTTCAGCTTTATAACTTCCTAGCACCTGTACAATTGCCAAAGTAAATTGTCTTCATTATGTGGTTTCTTTCTTACTTCAGATCTGTGTCCAGATGACCGGAAAGCTGCTTCACCTGATGTGGAGGATGCTGAGAATTCTGAAACTGACACGCAGCCCACTGCAAAGTAAAGCAGAGCACAGAGGTGATGTAGCGCTCTGAACAGCCTCCACGCACCCAAACACATCCAGCTTATCATGTAATAAGAAATGCTGTAACTGATCTGCATGTATATTGATGTAGTCTTATATTGTGAAATAACTTCTCATTTGGTTGGTTTCAACAGCAAAAAAGTTCTAGGCCTGCCGGTGTCAAGTTATGTGGTCAGCAGTAATGTATAGTCTTTCACGTCTCCTTTAATGCTTCAGCCATTTTCCACCTTTGAATAAAAACAGCTTCCATGCTCCCTCTGTACTTTGAGTCATTTATTTCTATACTTATTGAGGAAAAGTGATCGATGCCTGGGCATGAACATTTCTTTATCCTTTTTCAAATACAGTTGCCAGACACCCCGCTGACTCGAATGTCAAGGTTTTGTGCTTCATAAAACTGCAGATCTTCTAAAAAGCACCACTGTTCCCAAAGACTTCAACAAAGACTGCTGCCGGGTAACGTTGCCATTAGAAAGAGAAAGAAGAAGTCAAACATTTAAACTGTTGCCAGAAGGGGTTCACACAGCCCCATGGGGAAATAACCTTCATTGTACTAATGAAAAGCTGTTTCGGGTCCTTTTTACACATCTTAACAGTCCAAAACAAGTGGTGGCACTTTGCCTGAGGTCATTCAGGCAGAGCAGCATGGGCAACAGAGGACTTTTAGTGCTGGTCATTTAGTGCTGAGGAAAAGAAATGTTGAAATGTGTTGCTTTGCAGGGTCAATAAAGAACCTTCAGTGGTGCATTTGAGCGTACAGAACACCCCCTCCTCCCGCAGGAGCACTTGCACCACTTTTTTTATTTTTTTGGAACCCGCCTTTCAGAAGATTTTTGTTGCAGGATTGACAACAGTGCCGCCGTCTTTCGTTCCCATCCTCATCCCTCTCTGACCATGGCTCTGCCTGTTCTGGTTTTCCTGTTGGGCATCACTTCTCTCAGCGTTGCGTCCGCACCTGATTGTAAGGACCTGGTCAAACCTTTTGTGCCAGATGACCCAAAACTGGTAGGTTTTGCTTATTATTTGTCTTATTTATCTCAGTGATTGTTGAATTTGTTTAAAGGTCTCATCATTCAGCATCTCCAGCCATTTTTAAAAGCAGTCACATACACTGACCGGCCACTTTAATAGTCGCACCTATACAAATGTATGCAATTCAATGCAACTTTTCTGCTTTAACATCTGTGTTTATGAAGCTCAGAATGTTTCAGTTTTTGGTGAAACTGTCACAAATGTATAAATTCAATTATATGTTTGCTATTGAGGTCATAGTTAAAGGTGGTGTTGTACTGGACTACATTATATTCAGAGGTGTTTCTAATATTCTGACCCTCTCATATACTGTATGTAGCTGAAGAGGACAAAAATATAGAGACACCTCAAAAAATATAATGCTGTCTGCTACACCACCACCTTTAACTATGACCTCAACATGTAATTGAATTTATACATTTCTGACAGTGGAGGTGTTGCAGTGAATTGTATACACTTATACACATGCAGCTATTAAAGTGGCTGGTCATTGGGTATCTTGGCTTTTTACATGCAGGTATTTGGAAAATGGGTTTACGTGATGGGAGCCGGTGACCCCAAGCCATACCACAAGGCACTGGAATCTCTGAAAAGCTCCTGGATAGACTTGTCTCCCACTTCTGATAGTCAGATAGTGACACTACGATGGGGAGATCATTGTTTGTAAGTTTGGTGATTTTGTTAATTAAATATGTTAAGTAGAATCAAAGAATTTGCAATATCGTGTAAGAAAAACAACTATACTTTTTCAGATAGTGTGTTGAATATTAAACTTGTGAAAATCTGATTTTGTCACAACTTGTTGTTTCTCAGTAATCGGTGTATCTTGGGGGAGGTAAATGCAACCATCTCAGGTCAGACCATCACATTTCGCAGTAAGTGAATATCGGATCACGTATATAACACATAAGAGATAAAGCCTCTTTTATCTCTAGCATAATATTTTTAAGATGAATAGCCACACCATCAGATCTACATATAAATAATATTAGGTAATGATTATTCACTCTGTATTCTGCTTTTGAAGAGAATCTGTCAGACCACAAAGGACATTTGCTACACACTTGCTCTGGCTGCCTGCTATGGACCGATACCTTTCAAAATATGGATGTCACTGGTAGATACATCCTGCAGTTCAGTAAGTCCTGTCCTCATCAAAACATTGGTCTGAGTTTCAAATGTGCATATCCCTGTTTTAATTGTCCCTACTCTTCAGCAAGGACAGGAAAAATAGACCCCAAAGATGTTGAAATTTTCAAGAAACAACTTGGATGTTTGAAGTTCCCAAACAACTTCCATCGCTATGACGGCAAAACAGGTCAGTAACTCCTTAGTGATCTGTAATAACTGTATCTAAAAACAAAGCAGGACCTGCGAGTCTAGGTCTTTATAGGACATGACAACTTACACAAGGTGCCACAAGGTGGGGATGTTGTATGATGAAATGCTACATATACTGTAAATATGAACACACTGTACATTATGTCTTTACACAGATAATTTTTCCATAAAGTACAATGCATATGGTCAGAAAGTGGATCCAATATCCTCCATGGCTCCATGTCTCTGTTCTTCTTTTAGTTTATGTTCTCTATGTTTTCATGTGTTTCAGAGCTGTGCAAAGACGACAAAGAGAGTACAGGGTGAGCAGAAGGAAAAAACCCAAGAGATACAGCAACATTTGTATGCAAAAATTTGTATAATGTAGTCGTTTTGCTTTAACTGAAGTATTCATAGAACAGATTTCTGACTCCATGAAAGGCAGTGCAGCAACTGATTAGAGAGTTTACAAAAAAAACCTTTAACAAATGATACCATATTGAATTGCATTATGAAAACTGTGGTGTCAAACATGGAACTTTTGTCTTAAAATAATGCAGGAAGTGTAACGTGCAATGTTTTTCAGATTAAAACCTTACTATTATTATCATTGTGTGGATGCTGAGTCAGCATCCACACTATTGTTGTCCTCTTCTTTATTATTCTGATTTCTTCCATACGTTTTTCACCACTGAATAACTCCAAGATAAAAAAAACCATTGAAATATCAAAACGTTCAGCTTTTTTAAGGACACGATGGCATGTATTCAGCTTTTTTTGTAACTTTTTTAAAATATTCAGCTTTTTTCAACTTTTTTTTATAATGAAAGTCAGTGGGAGAATCTTCAAATCTGCTAATGTCTGCCAAGTAGAAATTCTGTTTATACTCAAAGCATGTAAGCTTTTGTGTTACTGTATTGTTTTCTTTTTTGACTGCATAATTCACACTACAATAACTTGTAACAGAAGTGTACTTTTTCAAGTCATTTTAAATGAGGTAAGTTTAAGGTCTACACATGAAGACCATGTGTGCCCTTGTGGACAGAGCGCACGTACTGAAATTATGTACAATAAATCATTTGATGAGTGTGATTTAAATCCCTGTGCAATCTCACCCTCGTGTAAAAATGATGTGAGAAACTGAAACCAGAAAACCTTCTAAATGTGCGCTTATTCAGCTGCTGAATAGCTCGGTGGTTAACATTACTGTATTTGGTACACCAGGTCGGGGTTCGATTCTCTGTCAAGGTGTGGTCAATATCCAGCACTGGCACTTTGCAGGGAGATGCCTTGCATCAATCCAAGCACCCCCTTTTTGTGGTCAGACCCTATCATCACTACACAAATTCATTTCTTCTTTTAAAATTGTACTCATTGTACATTTACCTGCAGTTCCTAAATCACCCTGTCTGCTTTTGGGTGCAAATTTAAAATTAGTTTTTAGGAAAGTCCAGGCTATCTACTTTTTATAGCACTAAACCGGGAACTAAAGACACATCATAATAATAATAATAATAATCATCCTGTCTGCTGACAGTCAAACTTTTCTATCTAGTTATCCTTGACCATGTGCACCCTGTAAAAAACTCATGACAATGACTAGCATTTAAACAATCTTAACTAGACATCCTGTCTACTCTAAACATTTCTAATACATAAAGTATGTAACCAGTATCGATCTGACTAAAAATACCTAACAATTCCCCTTTCGACACGACCAAAATCGTGTTGACCTAAATCAATGTCCCAGTTTCCCCAGATGAAGCTACCTAGCATTTCGAGAGGTGAGCGGCCCCCCACCAAAGCCACTCCCTCAAGGGTAAACTACAGAGCTGAGTACTTCAGGGAAAAATGAACTAAAAACACAAAAAGGGTTACAGCATGTAAGCAGGTTCTTCGTTGCAGTGACCTCTATATGTATGCCGTATGTGTAAGCTGATTCAATGCAACTAAGAGCATTTGAGCAGACATGATTGTGGAAATGTATAAACATCATGTGTAGCAAGCTTTCATTGGTTAATCATAACATTAGGGGGTAACTA